ATGCCCAAAAACAGCTGTAAATGGAGGGAGGTGGGAGAAAGCGAAAGGAGATTGTTTTATTCGAGACAACAAGAAATGATTTCATTCTTGTTGAATTCCCATAGATTTCCAGCATTTTCTTATCTATAAACGAAGCTTATCTTCTCTTTCTATTGTTGTTTTATCAATTATTTTTTTTGCTGTGTTTGCAGTCGCGTCCGAGTCATAAAAGTTTTGCGAAAACTTAAAAATTTGTCATACATTAGAAAATGTATATGGTGATATATCACAAATACTTATACGCAGATAAATGTATGTATATATATATATATATATATATAGCAAATGTCTGTATGCATATATATTTCACAGAATTCTGCACAGAATTATACAATTTTTGCCCACTTTATTATTTTTTTATGTGATTATCTTGAAGATCACGTCAAATTCGTGTTGTGTTGCTCTCATTTATTTTGGCATGCGAAAAAAAAAAATCACACATAAAAATGTTCAAAATGGTTAAAACACCCACACACACCAAATGTTGCAGGAGAAACAAGAACAAGTACAATAAATTTATCAATATGGGTCGTCCGACGAACTGAATCCGACTATATTCTATTGGGGGTATTGGGGCCCTCGCTCTTCCTCTGTCGCCGCAGTGTTGAGTGTCACTGCCACTAGAACAGCCGGCAAGGCAACACCGCCAGATTCTCTCTCTCTCTCGATCGCCAGTGAGAACGGGCAAACACAACAACTCATGCACATAGAGAGAGAGAGAGAATGGGAGAGTGGGTGTAGCATTCGCCAGCACAGTGTTCTATTAACAGCAAAAAAATGCTTCCACTCATATGCCCCGCATTGAGTTTCTTCCATTCTCAGTGGAGCCCACTGTGCGCTCGCCTACGCTGGCGATCGTCCCCCCTCAAAAACAACAACGTTATGCGATAACAAGAGTGACTTCGATTAGCTCACGAAACAAAAACAATGCAGCGCACGCATTCGGAATTACAGTAATAAGAAACAAGAGAGAAAGATTGGTGAGGCACCGACTATTTGATACTCTTTGGCTCTTCGATATTGTGGGTGTGTAAAAAAGAGAAGGCTCAGTGCTAAATTATAGCATACAGACTGTAGTGATTTTTCCACTCCATTAGAAACACTTTATCTAATTGTAATACCTGCTCCAAGGGTATCAAAACAAAGCAGCTCTCATGCATATTCGAAATTACAGGAACAACATTGCACCACCACCGCCACTAATATGTAATGTGGGCGGCAGCGCAGCCAAAACATATGATGGGAGAGCGAGAGAGTCAACAGCTTGGCGCCTGTCTGCCTTTTTGCCGGTGACGGCGACGTCGACTGCGCAGCTTTTATGATTCATTTATCAACGTCAGGGCGTTAAGAGTCAATGCAGAGTCAGTCCAGAGTGAGAGGGGAAAGAGGGCACCTGAGTGGGTAGGGCGGAGGAAGGGAGGTGCTGAGTGTGAAAACACAAACAATTTGTATGTGTTTTTGTAGGTTTGTTGGCTTTATGCCCGAGAGACCGTTTCCCGATTCGCGTCTATAGGTAAATGTTGTTTTTAGATCAAGAAACAAACTTCTCTGGGAGCGCCAGCGGCGGCGAGGAGCGTGTGGGCGGCAGCGTCGTCCCAGAATTGGGTTAACGTGTATCGAATTTGTTTCTTTTTTATTGAAGTTCATGTAAAATCAATAAATACTATACACATAGCGGGGTTTTGCGGTCTCTGAACTTTTTTCTTTTTTCTATTATATATTTTCTACGGGCCGGGCCTAATGCAAAATTATTCCCTAATGAGCAAAACACACACACGCGCACACACAGGAAGCTCGACAACACTTGCGGCATTTAAATTAGTAACAGAGGTGGGGAAGGATGGCTGTAAGAGAGAGGGGAGCAGCCGGGCCAGGGTGGACTTGCTCTCAAGTGGGGCAGCATAGGTGCATGTTGCAATGGCAACAGCAGAAGTAACAGCAGCAGCAGCAACAACATGGGGCATGGCGTGTTGCAAGTGCATTGAGTGGCGCTGGGCTCCAAGTGCTGAAAGAAGCCACAAACATACATGTACGGACTTCTTGACAATGTTTATGCGGTTGCAGATAACGTGATATGGAACAAAGGCAAGAGATACTGCAATATTTATTTATTATACTATGGTCTATGGAGCAAATGGTGTGTCATTTAGTCGGGATATATGAACGATCGAGAAGCGGATATGAATATCGCGGAATTGTCACGCATAATCGCTCGATGAAGAGGAGGCACTGCGGCTGTGGCGGCGACGACGAGCGTAGCGTCGTTGTCTATTTTGGTTTTTGGACGCCAGCCGAAAGCAGAAAGCACCAGGCGGAAATGTTATGCCTTTTATATTTTTCTGCTTGTCTATTTCCTCCCATCCCTCTCTCTCAACGGTTCTCCGTTACAAGTTGGCTTTTCCGTTTTTACCTGGACTAAACACACACACACAAACACTGATGTATGGGCACATGTACACATATAAAGCCCCGTTAGGACGCCGCTAACTGTTAAATGCCAAACAGTTGCAACACAATTTTTTATATCATGTAAATTTTCGTTTTGCTGTTTTTGTGCTTTGTCACGTTTAGCTTGCCGCAATACACGTGCCCCATTGGCGGGGGGAAATGCAGTAAGTGGGTGGGGGGAAATCACCCTGTATAGTATATGCTAGCAGCTTGTTGACATTTTCACCCCACCCCACACCCCACACACAAACACACACTTATTTCCCCTTACACAATGCCAAATGTGATGGGGGAAATATATTTGTGTGCTTGGAAAACTGGAACAAACAGCAATGTGTTAATCTTAAAACGAAAACCACTTGAATCGGTGTTTTCCTGGGCATTTTCCGGAACATATCTCAAAGAAAACATAGATCCAATCCCGCACATGCACACACAAGTGGGCAAAGAGTGGGGAGGGAGAATGTGTTGGAAAAATCAATGCACATGTGTGCGTATGTGTGTTTGTGGAACCTCCTTTCGCTGTGAGCCAGAAGCCAGACCAGACCAATTGGACTTGCAATGTACTCTTTTTTATGAATGAAACTCTTCGCTCCTCCCCCTACCCTTACACGACACTCTATATGGCGGACTCACTGCAGGTATGTCTTCGGTAACACCCTGTATGACACCGCTTCGCTTGCAGTGTACCCTGCAATCTGTCGCTTTCGTTGCGTTGCACAGCCTCTGTTGCCAGCACTGCAGGCCTTCTTCTTCGTGGATTTCGTGAAGTTTTCCTTAAGCACTCACAACAACACTTCATTGCACACACACACACACACATACACAGTGGGTATTGTTTTTCCCGTTTTCTTTAGCGTTGGTTGTCGTGTGGTCATTAATGTCCGACACGGGAGCAGCAAGAAAACCATTTGATATTCCACGATTAGCAGTGCATAAGACCCAACGAAACAGTTGCGAATTGTTAACGAGACGCGCGCTTTTTCGCCGCTATGTTTTGCTTTTTGTTTAAATATATATTATTTACATTTTCCGCTGTTTATAAAAAAAATTAAAAGACGGCAGCAGCAGCACACTGTTTAGTGTGACCGCGGATTTATTTATAACATATACCTCTGACCCTCAGAAATATACCAAAATATACATTCTCATTTTCAAAATATACCGTCAATATACTGAGAAAAATCGAACTTAGCCCACTTAACCCCCTCTATTTAAACAGGTTAACTACTTGAGGCGAACCGCAGAAAATAATACTGTTTGTTAATTCATCCTGTAGATCCATCCTATTTCTTAACTTAAAACACAAAAATGACACGATATCTTTCACCTGAACTGCGCTAAAAATTCTTCAATTTAATTTAATTATTTAATTATTATAGAGCTTCTATATAAACACCCACTTGTCGACAATGGGCTAATCGTTCTCTGTGGATGATCGGAAATCATTTTTTCTTTATTTTGATATTCGGTTTAATATTACTAGCTAGTTAGCACTCGCAGCACTGAACATATAGTTTTATCCAATTTTTGAATCAATTTTCGACAAGATTGGATAGTTTTCAGAACTCTTTTTTAGTGGATTGCTTAAATAAAAAGGTTCAAACAAAAAAGGTCAACAAAAAATAAAAGCATACAACGTAAGTGGGAATGAAACGTAACGTAACGTAAGTGGGAATGGAATGTTGCGTCATTTGACCACTTGTTGCATGTCACGCGGCAGTATGGGCAGGTGTATACCCTGTATCCTTTAATTAATGTTAAAGTTCTGTTTTCCAAGCAGCGTTTAATAATGAATTTATCTGAGAATGACATGCTTTAACCCATTCATTTGTTTTCTGTTTATATGTATATCTCGATACATTATCGGTATCTACATATATGCTGCAAAATTTCGTTGAGATAGCTTTAAAACAGAAACCGACTAGTATTTGCAATGATTAGAGCCTGAGATTTTAAACATTTCCTCAATTCTAATTCCGCAGAAATTTAAAACCATTTTAACAAGCTTATTTTGATTATTTGTAGTCAACGTGTAATTAAGTTGTTAGCGTGAAAAATCACTTTATTTGCAAAGATACCAAACCGTTAGAACACCCAAACTCTTCATTGCCACCCCCATAAGGATGTCGCCCTGCAATGTTTACCCAAAATGTCAGCACAAAGGACCTCTGCTCGGACATTTCGAGTGGCCGACGCGCGACCAATCATAGAGCAAAACAATAATTGTTTACAAATTGTTAACACGCTGGCGGAATGATTGTCACTTTTGACACGCCACGCCCACGCCTCCGCATAAGGCTTATCCTGGTCGAGCAAATAGCGAAAAAACCACAAATCATGTTGAAATACTACTACAATGCACTCGTCGTTGATTTGCATATCATTTGTGGGGGTATGTTATGTCGATGTCCTACGGGGGTAATGGGGGGGGGAGTATCTGAGTATAAAACCATCAATAACGAGGATGTTCCTTGTCAGTTGGATACCAGACGGCGCCGCATCAGGATACCATGTCGATGTTCAGCTCCTGTGAAGTTTGTGGCGATCAGAGCTCGGGGAAGCACTACGGCGTTTCCTGCTGTGATGGCTGTTCCTGCTTCTTCAAGCGCAGCGTGAGGAAGGGCAACCACTATGCCTGCATTGCGATCAAAGGAAACTGCATCGTGGATAAGGCGCGCAGGAATTGGTGTCCCTTTTGCCGCTTTCAGCGTTGTCTGGCGGTGGGCATGAATGTGGCTGCCGTTCAGGATGAGCGGGGACCGAGGAACCAGCAGGCGACAGCTGTCTACAGGTACAGCCGCAGATCCATGCCCTCGCCACGCCTACCACAAACAGTGGTGGCTGCAGCAGGCGGGGGCCAGACGTTGCATTTTCAGATTCTCGCACAGATTTTGGTTACCTGCCTGCGACAGGCGATGGCGAACGAGCAATTTAGCAGCTTGGAGCGGCCCCAACAGGACGCCATCCTACAGGTGGTGTGGAGCGAGATCTTCATACTGCGGGCCTCGCACTGGTCGCTCGACATTAGTGCTATGATTGATGGCTGTGGGGATGCACAGCTAAAGCGACTGATATACGAGGCACAACAGCTGAGGGCCGATGTCTTGGAACTGAACTTTTTGGAGACGCTTATTTTGTGCAGGAAAGGTGAGTACTACTCCAGGGATTAGAAGCAATATAAAGCGTTATCTGTCCTTTCCAGAACTAGCTCTGAGTGCAGAGTATGCCATTATACTGGGGACACACGCGAATGGTGCTTTAATGTCTCTGGCGCGTTACACTTTGCATCAGTCGAACTATTTGCGCTTTGGCCAGCTCCTACTGGGGCTGCGACAGCTCTGCCTACGTCGTTTTGACTGTGCTCTGTCCTGCATGTTTCGAACAGTGGTTAGGGATATTTTAAAAACATTATAAATAAATTAAAATTCAAAAACCCGCGCTTTTAATATTGCTCTAAGTTTGGTATTTTTCATTTCTGAAGAACGGTAACACTTAAAGTATCGTTATCGCTCGGCTTCAATTTTGTTTTCAGTGAAAATTTTCGTTTTTCGCATGGAATTTTAACAAGAAGTCCTCGAAAAACAAACAAAAGTATGGCTGATGATGCGAACGAGGATAGCTGGCTGTACGGCACCTCGAATCCGGACTCCACCACAAACGAGATTGGCAACGGCGACGATGCGCTGGCGGCCGAGCACGAGGCTCAGGCCCTGGCCGCTGTTGTGGCTGGCGACAAGCCGGGCTCCAGTACAGCCTCACTGCTGCCCGGCTTTCCCAAGGAGGAGGTGCCCGAGTACAACGAATTCGATGATCCCGCCGAGGAAATGGAGGAGGACGAAGAGGCGCTGCCGGACACCACAGACAACCCTGCGAGGAGACGAGACGAAGCCAGGGAAGAGGCGAGAACGCCGCCAGACCAGGACGAGGACGAGGAAATGGACGAGGGCCCGGCCCGGAAGGAGCGCAATGGTTCCGGCTCCGATGACGACGATGACGATGACTCGGATGACGATATCAATGTGGTGATTGGCGACATTAAGCAGGCGCCGAGCACATTCAACATCAAACAGCGTCCCAACCTCCTGGCCGGGGGCACAGCGGACAAGGCCAAGCCGGCTGGCCAGGCGGGGAAGTTCAGTATCGAGGACTTCGAGGGTGCCGGCACCATCAATGGCGTGGCTGTGCACGAGTTCAGCATCGACTCGCTGGAGGAGAAGCCGTGGCGGAAGCCGGGCGCTGACATCACGGACTACTTCAACTACGGCTTCAACGAGGAGACGTGGCGGGCCTACTGCGAGCGACAGAAGCGCTTCCGCGTGGCAGAAAGTGGCGTCGGCCTGGCCAGTCTTACCCAGAACGTGAGTCAGAATACGCCCATTGGGATCCTGAATGATGGCGGCATGAACATGGGTCCCCCGGGGATGCACAACATGCCGCCGATGATGGGCATGAACGATATTGGCATGCAGATGCCGCCGCCGGGCATGCCGCCACCCAATATGATGCAGCACCAGCCACGTCCGGGCATGGGCATGATGCAGCGACCGCCGCGTCCCATATCCACCACAGGCGGTGGTGTCAAGGAGAACGCCATCCAGGTGATGACGGCCGAGTGTCGGGAGTACTCGCGCGGCGGCCTGGGACCCATGGCGCCCAATTTCCCACCGCCTGGCGCCTCCGATGAACCCTTCTTCCACGAGCCGGAGCCTTTCGACTACGGCTACGAGCCCACTCAGGAATCGCAATGGGGCAACGACAATCCCGGCTGGGTGCCCACCGGCATCAAGGAGCTGACGCCCGGCCACGCTCACATCCATCAGCCGCCGCCCGGCATGCCGCCACAAATGAATGTGCCGCCACCCCAGATGGGCGGACCACCTCCTCAGCTGCGTGGCATGATGCCACCCAATATGCGAATGCCTATGAGTGAGTCTTGAATGCGGGTCCTTAATCCTTACTGTGATTACTCATCCGTTGATTTCCTTTTAGATATGGGACCACCGCATGGAATGATGATGGGTCCGGGCAATGGACCCCCGCCTGGTATGAGAATGGGCATGGCGCCGCCACAGCGTATGCCCATGGGCGGTAACAACAATGGAAATATCAGCAATTTGGCCTCATCCTCTGCCTCCTCCTCCGATCGTGGTGGCTACGACGATGAGCGTGAACGACGGCGGCGCGACAAGGATAAGCAGATGAAAAAGGATGTGGTAGGTGCCATCAGTTCTCCATTCCCTGTTGATCATCTAAAGAATGTTTTATTGTGTCTTGCAGCTGCGCAAAGACTTCATCGAGATGCTGCGGGAACGACACGACATCGAGAGGCATACGCGCTGGTATGACATCAAGAAGAAGTTCGAAGCGGACCCGCGGTACCGTGCCTTGGACTCGGCATATCGCGAGGAATACTTTGAGGACTATCTGCACATGCTGAAGGATGAGAAGCGCAAGGAGCGTGATGTGAAGGAACGCGATCGTCATCGCGACAAGGAGCGATCTCGGGACAAGGACAAGGAGAAAGATAGCAAGGACAAAGACAAGGAAAAGGACAAAGATAAGGACAAGGACAAAGAGGAAAGAAAGGAGAGCTCCCGTGTACGTTCCCGCTCGCGTGACAAATCCAGTCGCCGAAAATCCAAATCCCGCGAAAAGGAGCGCAGCGAACGCAGCAGCAAAACGGGTGGAGGTGGCAGCAATTCAGCAGCCGCCTCTAGCTCATCGTCCAGTCGCGGCGACAAAAAGAAGTCGCATCGCAAGGACAAGGAGGAGGAGGAATAGCATTTGTTTAGATACTACATGGAAGACGAGGGAGAAGCAGCTGCCACCTAAGCAGCTGCCGATACACACACACCCACACACACACAAACAAACACAAAACGAAACGAACATTTTTGAAAGAAAAAAAAACACTTCCAATAAATAAGAGAAAAAAACCCAAGAAAATGTATCTACCAACTGGGACTGGAGCACTGGGGAATGGTATTCCCCGGGATATACGAAGTTAGAACTAAATTCTCTTGGGGTTTAGGGAGTTCTTCAGATGAGGACAACGTTCGATTTAAGGTTTTAATTCAATTCAGATATATTTTGTTGTTAATATAAAAGTTGTTTCATTTTGTAAATCCCACTGTAATATAATAATTTGATCTCTACTCAAATTAAATTGTACCAACAAAAATCCCACACAATTCTGTGGGCATTTTCAGGACGAACGTTAAAAAATATCAGGAAAAATTCTTTTACATATTTAATTCCGCCGCATTGACGCTGCAACAATACACACAAAACAGAACAAAAAGAAAACGAATGAAAGGTTTACCGTGAAAAAAACATTTAATTCCCACCATTCAAGAGGGCAAGAGGCGAAAGAGGATATCATCCCGCACTTGAACGGCCGCCTGTCCAATTGGTTTATGAGTATTTTCAGTTGAATGTTGCTTCTGTGTGACATTTAAATTAATAACAGCATAGTGGATTTTTAAATAAGTTTATGCATTTATTTATTTGTTGATTCAGGTGAGAGCAGTGAATGAATTTCAAATTTCAAATAAAATAAATGAAAAACCTGAACAAACAAATTGACAGTTCACAAAAGTGTGGTCTTAATTAACACATAAAATGAATGACACAAGGGAAAATGATGATAGTATAGTAGGAGTACATATATTTAATGGTTATTTGGATTTTCCAACTGGTTTTTATATTCCGGGGCTTTCGGCATAATTGACATCGTAATTGTCACAAATTTGAGCAGAATATTATTTGAGATGCAACCAAATGGAGAACAGGAAACCATAATGTTGATAAATTAGATGGGCTTTACACATATACTTATAGTTATGCTAGTTTTTTTCTGGGTTAGTTATAAAAGTTGTTTGTGTTTCTGTGTTTGTGGGGTTAGTTTTGAATTATATTCCTCTTGAATTTTAGCTAGAGATCTTATGTTATATTAGAACTGATATTTAAGGTTGATTTCCTCAATCCCGGAATAGATATACATCCACACGCATGCACTGGTTGATGAGAGTAGTTTACAATCCGATAACACTAAGGAGCGGTTACAAAATATACTATATTATAATTATATTAAATATATCATTAGACAGTAGACAGTAGACAGTGAGACGACAAACGATTCTTTTCGGTTCTTATCCTTTCTACAATATAGTTTAGATTTCTATATATTTCATTTCATTTAATTTCATTTTAAAAGTAACAACGATTGTCTTTAGAAAACTAAATTCACGTACGCGCAAATACTTATACGATACTCGTAAATATGTTTTATGTATGGAATACACTAAATATTCTGTGACTGAATTCAATTTTCTAATTATTTTCTTTGATTCTCGAAAAAGGAACATCGTCATGTATGTATATAATATATATGTATTTATTTATTTATATGTGTATATTTTAATATGCTAATGTTTAGTGTTTTGTAATTGAAAAACCCATGCAAGTGGAACAGAGAAACAGCCCGAAAGTTTACATCAGAGATCAGATCAGATATATAATAGTTATTTCTTTTTGTTTTATTTTGATTACGAGAGACAGTCAGTGAGAAGTTTCAGATGCATTTGATTATTCAGATATTCAGATATTCAGATTTTTGGCTTTAGATTTTTGGTTTAGATTTTTGGCACTCATTGAGACTGAGTTTGAGGTTCTTTCTATGGAATTCATTCTATGGAACAATGGACATTGATGGGTATTAATAATCCTCAACTAAATTGTACTTTCATTTTGCAGCTGTTTGCAAGTTTGCATGCATCCGAGGTACTTTGCTTTCCACATCACAACACTTGCCACTCAACTCAACTCAACTCATTCACTTTCACTCTCATTCTTATTCACACTCAGATTCATTCGTATTCGTACACTCAAATCGGGTTTATTTTTTTGGCCTTCTTGAGGACCTAAAGCTTGCTTTTTGTTGTTGTTGTTTAGATTGTGCTCTATCTGCTCAAGAGCTGCTCCACATTCAGGGTCAGCTCTGGGGCAGCATTGGGGCTGCCATTGTTGGGGCTGTTGTTGTTATTGGGACTGTGGGCATAGATGCCATTGAGGGTACGGGATGGCGCTGGCGATGTGGGGGCCGACAGGAGGGGCGGACTCAGTGCCAGGGGCGGCAGCGGCGGTGACTGCGCCTCCAGTGTGGAGGGCGGACTACGATTGAGATTGCTGTCAAGGCTGCTGTGATGCTGCGACGAGGCCGGCGATAGCGGAATCTCCTCGATCTTCTCCAGATCCTGGGTAATCGACGATGAGTTCTGTTTGTGGGCGCGCGTCAGTGTGCCCTTGGGACTGCGCGATGTCATGTCATGGATGAGGGGAATGTCCAGCATCGAGCTCTTGCTGGCACTCACCAAGGCCGCGTAGTTGGTGGCCTGCAGTGAGTGCTGATGCAGTTGCTCTCCCTTCGCCTGCTGGTCGTCACGATCGAGACTGAACTGGCGACGCAGCAGGCGAGTGGAGTTGGGTTTGCTATCAAATTTCGCCGTACTGCCGCCCATCGAGCCGCCGCCACCACCGCTGCCCGGTCCACTGGCCACGCCAGCCGGCCCAATGCCGTGACAGGCCCCCGCATTGCCGTACAGATACTTGCCATCGTAGAATTGGGTCAGGTTGCTCTCGCTGGGACTGAGACACTTGTAGTGGTTGTAGGGCGAACTGAGGTCCATCATCTCCTCGATCTTCTTGTACAGCCGCGAACTGGAGCCGCCTGTGGAGTTGGGCAGCCGATTGAAGCTGTTCGGATTCAATAGATTATCCGGCGTTAGTTCGGACAGCTTACGGCTCTGTGGACTCGTGCTGCTGGGCGTCGCCTTGCCGGGAAACTCCGGACAGAGTGTGGCATTCGGACTGATCGTGTTGGTGGAATTGGAGTCCAGCGAATACGAATTGGGCAGATGTCCCACGGATGCCATATCCGAATTGGCTGGCGGCGTTATCTCCACTTTCACCTCCACAGATTCCCCAGCCAGCGAGGAGCTTTGCGATGATGAGGGATTTGTGCTCGTGCGGGATTTATTGGCCTGCGCCTTGAGGGTGATGGAGTTCCGGATGAGGGACTCATCCAAGCTGTGGGGGTGCAGTCAATTATAGTGGATTATTAAGGGGTCAAAGTAGAGGGTTTTAAGCATTTGTTGACCTACCCATGCGACTCCCTAGGGAAAGCAGGGTTTAGTTTTGAGAAGAGTTAATAGTTTCAAGTTTTTAAAGAGGTTTAAGAAGAGTCTTCCATTGATTTATACTCACCCAATTGGCGGTGGTGCTGGCAGTGGCTTATCAAAGCCCTTCTTGCCCAGCAGCCAGAAGGTGCTCATCATGCCCTTGCCTTTGATATCGATGAGGCCACGCGGCTCTATGGCATAGCCACCACGCACCTCCAGGCGATCTCGCGTCTCCTGTGACATGTGTATGCGCCAAGAGGAACCTTTTGTGGGGCACCAGAGAAACCCATAAGTTATGCAAACTAACGCAAGTAGAGCTCCAAATACCTGTAGATTCCATTCTGGAGGCTGTGTTGACGGTATCGCCAAAGAGACAGTAACGCGGCATGGTGAGGCCCACCACACCGGCACAGCAGGGACCTGTGTGCAGGCCAATGCGCAGCTGGAGAGGCACACCAGGCAGATGCTTGACATTGAAGCGACCGCTCTGATGCAGCAGATCCAAGGCCATGGTGGCTATCTGTTCGGCATGATCGGGTATCTTAACGGGCAGTCCACTCACCACCATATAGGCATCCCCAATGGTCTCCACCTAAGCAGCAAGAGATTTATAATTACTCGAGTGTTATAATTCCCCGAGGAAAGACCCACCTTGTACACATTATAAGCATTTATGGTGGCATCAAATATCGTGTAGAGATCGTTCAGTAAATCGACAACCTGCACGGGACTGCAGTGCGCGGCAATTGTTGTAAAACCAACAATATCGCTAAAGTATATGGTCACATCGGAGAACTCTTCGGGATCCACGCCCAAGCCCATTTTGAGTTTTTCAGCCACAGAACTAGGTACGGAAAAAGCGTAAAAAATAGAAGCATAAATGGGAACGCGACACGCACCTTGGCAACATGCGATTCAGCAGCTGTTCAGTCTTCTTTCTTTCAATATCCAATTGATCGGTGCGCTCTCGTATCAGCTCCTCCAGATTATTCGAGTACTTCTCCAGCATCTGGAACATGGTGTCCACAAAGTTCACCTTTCGACCATGATTTAGCATCTTAAAGCGCTCATAAACGCTGCAAACAAAGGAATATTTTAGTCAGAGAAGGCTGCTAGAGGCCAATGGCCACTTACGAATTGAAATCTGGTCGCATATCTGGCTGTTCGGCCCAGCACTGACGCATGATATTGATGGCTTCGGGCGGAGCGGCACCCTTTGAGACGGAGGGACGTATCAGTGGCGGTGGCTTCTTGATCTTTGCAATGATATCCTCCGGGGAGAGGGAGAGCATGCAGTAGGGCTCCCCGCGCACTACAACCTCCTGCATGATGATGCCAAAGGAGTAGACATCCCCCAGCTGTGTGCCAAACTGAATGCGTCCGTGGTGCTGGTGGTGATGCAGATGCTGCTGCTCGTGCTGCTTCATGAGACGCAGCAGCTCGGGCGCTGTCCAGAGCAGCTCCTTGGCGCTGCGTGGCATCAGTGGCAGGGCCTGAGCCTCGTAGAAGGAATTGAGGCCATAGTCGGTGATCTTAAGCACCCAACGGGCATCCACCACACAGTTGCGAGAGGTGAGGGCGCCATGAACGCGCAGCGGCGAGGTGTGTAGGTAACGCATGCCTCTGACCAGGTCCGTGAGTAGGCTGAGGCGGAAGGACCAGTCCAGCTTGATCTCATCCATGATGAGCACATCCTGCAGCGATCCCCGAGAGCAATAGTCAAACACCATGGCCGTGCGATTCGGATCCGAGAGCCAGCCAATCAGCGGATTGATATTCTCGTGCCTCAGTCCATGGGCCATCACCAGCAGATCCATTGCCTTGGAACGCAGCTCTGGGGAACCATTCATATGAATCTCCTTCAACTGCACCAGATCCCCGTTGTAGCGTGCTCTCATGTCCAGATGTGCGGGATTGTGCCTGGCCAGACTACCCGTGGCGGAGGAGAGTCGCTTTCCGTTCACCGTTGTCGCTGTGGAACTACCCACAGCACCCGTGGATGCTGCTGCTCCGGGTATCACAAATCCCAGGTTCTTCAACGATCCAATGGAGCCCTTGAGCAGATCGGGTTTGTCCACTTCGGGGCCGCCAAACTCCTGGAGCTGCTGCAGCCAACAGCAGAGCATGGCCTCAATGCCCTCATCCACCTGGAAGGATGCATACAGTTTGGTGCTCTGCTCCCAAAGAGTCTTAGTTTGGCTTACCCTTCGCGAATCCACTGGGAAGACAAAGTCACTGGCGGATAGAACAATCTTGTTGGGTCCCTTGGAGAGACGCTGTCGCAGGAAATAGTTTCTGGAGGAATAATAAGTTTAAGAATTACACAAGGAAGAGCCATCTGACAACTGACACCTGTTTAAGTTGTTTAAACAAAGCTGAAGAACTACTTAGCAGCAGCAGCAGCAGCAGCAGCGGAGGGTTCAATTAGCTCTAGCATCCAATCAAGCACACACTTTCTCCTCTTCCCTCTTTGGCTGGACACACCTTCTGCTCCTCCTTCAGCCCCTCGGCCAATGCAATCTGCATCCATTAACCCAACAAACCCACAGACATCAGACTCAGACCTTTGGATCGTTGCGGTTGGGACTATAAAAACTTTTTACTACCACATTCTTAGTTACACCTAACAGTTTTGTGCCGGTCCACTTCCTGGCTGGATGTATGGGGCCAGATGGAGGCGGGTAAACCGCAAATTCATGCAGCAATTGTTATGCCAGAAGTTTGTGTTGGTCCACGCGGCCCCAAAGTCAAGTCAAGTCCGGGTTAAGTGTATTAAGGGGCATTAATGGGCTACAACCTAAGTAGGGCAGACAAAAACTCTTTTCGGCCACACGTGTACCGGTTGTTAACTAGATTTCCCCCAACTCTACCCCACCCCCCGCAGCCAACCTCATCTCACCCAAAAAAGACAAACGGAAGCTGGCATTGAATTTAGTTTTTTTTTTGCCCTTCCATTTATGGCAGAACTTTTTGGGGCTTAACTAGGCGCAAAGTTTTGTGTGTGTATGTGTTGACAACGATTCAGGGATTAATGCAAAAAGAGGTTAAGCAAGGTCATACATAGATCAATCAATAAAAGGAGAGAAGAGGAGCAAATATATAAGGTAGGTCTCCCCTTCCATAACCCTTTCTATTTCTGTGCTACTTTCGCTTTCTTTATTTTGTATATTTTTTGCATTTTTCATGCCGCGGATTATTGCAAACACTTTGTCAAATGGTAGACCCCGAGGGTATTTAAGCCACGTTGTTGCGGAGTAACTTTTTTTTGTACTTCTATATTTCCCCCTGTTTCCGCTTAATGTTTCTGGTACAGGTGTGCCCATGAACGGCCTTGTCCGGCTATCCGTTGGATTCTCTTTTGGCGCCCTTTAAAAATGTAAACTACCCTGTAAAACGAGGTGCACTTGATCAACTGCGGACTCAGGACGATAAACCACTCTTAGTGAGCAAAAAGTTGTTTGTTCCATAGGCTAAGCCCTCGACAAACAAATTTTAATCAAAAATGAATCGCCCATGGAAACAATGGATATACAAAAGGATATCTAATGCCTCGTCTCAGCTGGCTAGCCAGCAGCCATTTGCTTCCTGTTTGTCCTTTTCTGTTTTTTGCTTCTCTCTCGCGCTAATTAAAACTTCATGAGTTGCATTTTAGCGTGGATGGGAGAAAAAAAAAGCATCTCTGATTGTTGCGGTTTAAAGTTGTGTGCTAACTAGTTTAAAGCGAACGCTTTTCAGTTAATGAGAAACAGAGAGAGAGCGAGCATGATGATGGGATAACAGGATGTGGTCTAGGGCTGACAGCTCGGATAGCCCCAAACAGGGAAATGTTGTCGTTGGCATGTCAAATGGTAAATGATTTGTTTCTTTTTTTTCTACTGCATAGATGTCAGCTGCCGGACAGTTGCACACCTGTGTGTGTGGCCACCTGTTCTACGCTTTGATGAATGTAATTAATTAATTAAATGCTTGTTTTAACGGTTCGACTATTGCCAGAGTGAGAGGCTACTGAGTGGGTTGCGTAGTCGTGTGAGTGAAGCTTGCGGTTGGCTATTGATTTTCACGTATGTATGTAAATTATCTTTAATCTATGTTAGTCCTAGCTGCGGTCCGGTGCGTAGGCTCCGGCGGCAGCGATCGGCTTCCGGTGGCCCGCTCTGGTAGCGGGGGGAGGTGGCTTGAATTGGTGTTGGTCCGAGCTGCGGCTCCGGCGGCAGCGATCGGATTCCCGTGTCCCGCTCTTGTAGCGGGGGGCGGTGGTTGCCGTTTGGCAACTGGGTCTTCTTATGGAGATTACGTTGAGAGGGTGACTGCCCTCTATTTCGCTGGCCCTTAAGGCTCAACGATATAATCAAGTTAATAAATGTTTTACGACATGTGTCGGAGTAGAAGTGAACGAACCGTTCGTTTATTTGTAAAATCTTAAACTAAACTTAACTCCCAGATCCCCCGCTCGCGAACCATTCATGCAAGAATGGAATTCGCTGACCACAGCACATCCGCTAGAATCAGGCGACGGCCGTTGGCCAATGGAGTGAGGGACGGCCCACAACAGCGTCAGTGCTGTGTCAGCTTTCTGAACTGAGCGCTGCAAGATGTTATGTGTGGGGTGGCGCAAGATGATGAAGTTAAGGGGGTGCGATAACTTGTAATATGTGTTAACTACTCCCCCTTGGGTGATCCCTGTCCTCGGGGATGCCAATCTCCTTGATGACATTCTGGAGCCTGAGTGTGGAGGTTCTCCGACTCCAGTAATGGTGTAAAAGCATCAAGCCACAAAGCGCGAAACTGACGGCTACTCCTGCCGCAAACCAGATCTTGGGTGATCCGCCGGATGTCACATCATTCCTTAGCTCTTCTATAACTTGAATGTTGTGTTCGTTCATCCGTCGCAAGAGTGGTAGGCTGAGGACTTCGTCGTGCCCTATTATGGTGAGTAGGGGGGAAGCCGCGGTGCCTGGTACCTTGCTCACGGCTCCGTTGAGATTCACGTATGTGGTGTCGTTTATTGTGGCTTTGCTCTCAAATGTAACGAGATTAGCCCCTCTTGTTGTTACTAGAGGTCCGTTGTCCACGCTGACCCTCGCCGGCCGCCCGTTGATGATGATTATGCCATCGTCCACCAGTGTGACGGGCTCCAGGTGGCTCGGTTGTGTGCGGCATGAGGCTGCGCCTCCGGCGTGTATCTCGCGGGCGCAAGTGCTGTGTGCGGCCTGCTTGCAGAATGTCGCAAAGTTGGTGGCGACGCATTCGGTTACCGCCAGGATCCCCTCTTCGCATTCTGCTACAACATTGTCTTGTAGTTGTAGCACGGTGTTGTTGCGCGCCACGGGAAAAATTAGGATTTTCTTACATCTACTTTTAATCCTAGGATACTCAACTAAGACATGGATAACAATATTGGATTGAAAAATCTTAATTCTAGATACATCCATAAGACTAACTATGGGGACCTCCGTGAGCTGTTCGTTAAAGATAGACTTTAGGTCGTTATGATTGAATATGATAGGGTTTATTATGTTTGACTTGGCAAGTGTGATGGTCAGCATCAAGTTCTGGATTTCTGAGATAGGCATTCTATTTCTTGCTAGTAATGTTTCATATAGGTGAGCGGTGTCTACCAGATCACCTTGTTTTTCTTTCAATATTTTGTTAACCGTGTCGGTGAGCAAATTGATTTGTCTCTGTGCCTCTGTGTTGATCACTGCCTGTCTATTGTTTGACTCTATAAGTTGAGCTTCTGTTAATTTGATTCTTTCGAGGTCTGATGCATCAGGGGTACCCGCAACAACTTTGAGTGCTGTTCCCAAGAAGTCTAGGCTTCTTGCCATTCTATGGTGTATCATTAGGGCGGACAATATGTTCTTCGCGTGTTCTATATCTACTTCTAACAGCTTTCGCATATGTGATTGGGGAAATAACTCGGACATTTTTGCAGTATCATCTATGATGTTCCCTAACTCGGTCAGATTTGTCGAGTGCCTCACCCAGCTTCTTTGTTCCCACACCAACACATCTCCGTCCCGTACCGGAATGTAGTTCGCCTGGGAAAAGTCGGTAATCCGCGCATTTGTTGTGGTAAGGAGTACGAGGAGTATCGCGGCCAACTTGTGGGAGTGATAATCAGATTTGTAGTAATTGTTGTTTGATTATCTCAAATTGTCCTTATGGACCACCCTCCCTCTAATGAGGACAGATGTTCCCAGATCTGCCTGCACCCGTTCTTCCGTGTACAACGGGGTTAGCTTGTTTCCTAACCTCCTGTTATTCTTTGGGTATACTTTTTCACCTACTTCGAAGACTCTGTTTTGTCTACCGGGGTTAATCCTGCCGAGGTTGTCCTTTTGTGCCTTGTCGATTTTGGCTTTAATTGTCAACTTAAGATCTTTGTTGTTGGTATGAACTGCTTCAACCGGCCTCTCGTCTATGACCGAATGCAACGTTTTGTTGTATTCTACCGTGGCACGCATGATTAGTTCGATTGTATCGTCGATTTTTTTGTCGATCTTTATGCATCTTGCAATCTCTGCCAAGGTACTGTGAAACCTCTCTACCTGCCCGTTGGAGCTACTATGAAGAGGAGGTGCGTTAACTACATCAACTCCGTATTGGCTTTTTAACAGAGACGTAATTGTCTCGGAACTAAAGGCGGCTTCGTTGTCGCAATATATGGTCTTGGTATTCGGGTAGAAGTTCATCAATTGCAAGATGGGGGCACGTACTTCCACTATTGCCCTGGAAGCTAGGGGTTGCACAATGGCAAATTTTGAGAATTTGTCAATGCAGGTCAAGAAGAGTTTTTTATCTGTAGAGAAGATGTCGATGTGCAGCATTTCTCCTGCATACGACGGAATTGGGGTCACTCCTAGCTCTTGTTTTTTAGGGTGTCTATTATACTTTGCTTTGGTGCATACTTTACAGTTTATGACTACTTCATTGGCGAGCTTCGTCATCTTTGGGAAATAGTAGTCCCGGAGGATCTGCTTAACGTTTTCCTGCGCAGCCCTATGGGCACGATTGTGTTCTGTTGTGGTTATTTCCACTTGTTCGCTTGCATCTGTGATGTCGTTCACGAAATTTTTGCAATGCCAAAATTTGGTTGCCGGAAACCTCAGCACTAGGTCGTGTTGGAGGGAGGCTAAAGTTGGAAGGTCGCAGTGAATTGCATTCACGACATTCGGGTTGACCATCTCTTTTACTGATTCGATCAGGGAGTCTCTGTTATTAAAATGGATTATGTGGCGGGTTTTCCCGCCGAAGATAATGAAGTTCCGCCGTAGCGGCTGGCTTGCTTCTTC